AACCTGAGTAATTAAATTCAATTTGTTCCTAATAGTTGGTTGAGCCACAAACTGACGTTGAGCTGCAAATTGACGTTGAGCTGTCGGGCACTCAGGATGAGTGCCCCCGAAAACTGAGCCAGCGAATTTTCGGGGGTTGCAGCGCCCTAGCTGCAACTTTGGCACGAGTAGTTTTCTAGACCGAATTATCGGGATATGCTATCATATCATACTGGTCAAGTTTCCATACTCTCCGTACAGGATGTAGTGCAAACTCATCCTCACACCCCAAGAAGAAGGGGAAAAATGGGAATAAAAATAAAAATAACCACCGGCTACTATTCCAATAAACGGTTGTCAAGAGTATCTTTTCCGGTAAACACGATCTCATGTCACACCAGAAAACCTCCCTACTTCCCGATTATGATGCCTTGTTTAGTCCTGAGCCATTGCGTTAGCGAACCCCCCCCCCGATGCCACCCGCGATCTCTCCACCTGGCACTCCCACCCCCTCTTCTTCTTCCCCTACCTATTCGTACCACTATATGCTAAACTACCGGCTTTTCCTCCACGGTTCGGAAGCAGAGTGCCGCTGCTGCATCCTGAGGCATACTATCAAGAGTACTGTACCTAAGCACAATACAAATAACCCTGTTAAAATACCGTCATATCCCACCAATTATCATTCCTTTACTTTCCTAATATACCGCTCCGGGATAGAATAGGTATCATGCCCATTTCAATCCGATATAGAATTTTAGTCTACAAACCCAGGGGAGCGATTTCCTTTCGGTTTGGAGTCCTTAAGCAAAGTTTGTATCATAATCCAAACTTAATGAAGACTGATATTTCGATCTTCATTTCATATCGCTACGACAGTGACTTGAAAGACACTCTATCAAATTCGACCCCCAACCCCGAAGACAATCTATCCCCATGCTATATTCGAGCCAAAAGTTATCAGGGGGCAAATAGGCCACAATCAGCAGTCCAGACATTGCTCCTGGGGGGGCCGTGATTCGAGCCCCGACTCGTCTTTGTCGGAGATTTCTCGCGCGGGCGTTAGCTGAAAACCCGGGAAGACGGCTGGCCCTGATCCTGTATAGGTTCTTTTATTGTGTTAGAATGATATGTCGCAGTGGGGGGAGGGCACCCGGCTGGCGGCCCACAGGTATCTATAAGACAACATGGGATGCCAATTGGTAGCCCTGACCGTGCTCCAACATCCACATGTGCGAATGCTAGAATACCGGAAGGGGTTATATCATTCCCAGAACATCGTAACAGAATTACCAAGTGTTACAGTAAATCAAGGAGGAGGTTATAGTAACTCACAGGAGACCAGTGATGTCAAGCGGCCAGTCCGACCCATCGCCGAGCCTACTAACCGGCCGCCAAAGTCCAGCGGTGCCCCGGCAACGGCAGGATCAGTAGCTAGCACAGCCACCTCAAGGCCCTGGAAAAACCCGCGAAAAGCCCGAATATGTCCAAGCACTCTAGAGATATCTGCGCACCGCCCCCAGTCATTTTATCATTGATCACTCCCGGCGAAAATAATACATCAAGTCACCGCCAGAAACTGCTTTGCTTAAAATAAGATGATAGCAGAACATAATTTATTGCTCGAATCCAGAGCCCACAGAGTCCATCCCTACAAGAGATCCCTACAAGAGTGTAAACAATGCAAGAATCCCTCTATGAGCAAAGGCAATCTCCACCGTGACCTCCAGACCAAGAAACTATTTTCAATCCCCTTCTAATAACGAAGCCACCATGCGATATCTAACGGTCATACTGGGGATGGAGTAACAACAAAATACAAAGCATGTGATAGACTCGAAACCGAAAATTGCTCAAGAGTGCATCTAGGTAACCTACATGAAGCAAATAACAGCAGCAACCATTGCGGCACCTGTCTGAATTGCACAGAGGAACCCATGGAAAGAGAATATAAGCAATACAATACCCGGAAGGGGGGAAATCTCTGAAGGGGAGGCTGGCTAAATGGTGTTTTAGTAGTTTAGAGGGAGAAACGTCATCTAGGAAGGCAAATACAACTTCTTACCTTTCCACGAGGGCTCACTCGAACTTCAAGATCTACCTAGCTCTAAGCCTCTTTGCGAGTTTCCTGAGTCCCCCCGATACCTCAAATAACTTCTGAAGTGCCACTTCTCGACACTTGGCATCCCCGGTTTCCAGCTTCCCGAGCTTACCCTTTTCGGCATCCATCTCGTCATTCACATCAAGGCCTTCGTCTCCAAAATCCATCCCACTATTTAATAAAACGCACCCTTCAGCTCGGAAGCCATCCCCAATATCAAGACGGTTGCCATTTTCCCAACACCCACTACCCGGCTCATCTTCCTCCGCCGCGTCTCTCTCTGGTACACCGTGGTATAACACCTCCTTCGTAGTGTATTCCTTCGTGATAACGACCCGCTCCAATGACCCAACCGGAGCATTAGATAGCCAGAATAAACAGCGCTGGTATTCCAGTTTCTTGTTGTCCAGCAACACCGCGCGATTCATCTGCAGAAAGTGCGGGCTATCAGGAGACATATCCAAATTCCCGATAGACCCACCGAAACGTCGATTAAGGGTACCCTCCACTAGATTGTATCCGATCTGGTAGCGTTGTAGCTCGGCCGAGAGAATCGCGAGGAGTTCGATCATCCAACCCTCATTCGCACCTGTGTATACAGGTAGAGTTTCAGGCAGTAAGCGTTTTGGAAGGTAATTGATTTGTTGATCCGCGTATCGTTTACGAATGCTCTCCAAGGTAACTACGGAGGCTTTCATGGGGGGCGGCAGAACCACTTTCCTGCGAGGATCGATCCAAGTTGTCTGTTCGCTGTTGTGGTCAACAAAATAGGTGCTACCCCCATGGGGTTTGCGGACTTCCCAGCCAACTGGTAACGGGTCTCCCCGGCTCCCCCTTATCCCATCCGGCGGATTGAACGCCAAGATATGAGCCCTGCCAGCTCTTTTACTGCGCTGAATGGGAGGGAGCTCCTCTTCGATCTCAGTGGCAGAGTACTCCTTAGTAGGGTCCGGTCCGTAGTGGTATCCCGGTGGTTCAACAGAAAGTCCCACCTCACTTTCATCAACTTCCCCGGAAAGAGGAGTCCCTGGGCCATTACACAACGTGGCTCCGTAAAAAAACTCAGGAAGCCTATAGAACCATGTCATGTGACTGAGCAGATGCGCCCTTTTCTCCACAATCCGAACTAAGGTATTCTTATTAAAAATCCTTGAGGGAGTAAGACCCATGTTCTCACGTTTATTGCTCCCCGAGGTTGGCGAAAGAGGTATCCCCCTCAACCCGCGCTCAGTTTCGCACTGCCAAACCTTGACCTCGATCAACCACTCAGGGGTCGAATAGTCCTCAGCCTCCCATTTGTCCTCTTTCCCCTGATGGGACGCCCAGGAAGGAAAGAAGAAGCGCAATTTTTTACCGGTACTCGGTAGGCACCCTTCCTGGGTCTCTAGAAGACGTCGATTGATCAGCTTCCCATGCCCGAACTCCTGGCCATGGACGAAGAATTCGATGTAGAGTATTGACCCCCGGAGATGCGGCGTTTGCCCAACCGTGAACACCAGGTTCCAAGGTAGACCCGGAAATGCTGGGACAAAGCACATTGGATGAGAGCCAATGTATGAGCAGTCATATTCGGGGAGGACCCCCCACTCTGTCAAGATAGAGACATTAATGAGATCTTCAACGATCATGATGACGCTGACGAGAATAAGGAACGATTCCCTATGATAGGTAGGACGAAAGAGGGTTTCAACCGAAGTACTCAGAGTAAATGTCCTTGAGAAAATGTGGGAAAACTAACGATACAAGAAATATTAGCGATCGCGAGTAGTTTTTCGAGGGAGGCCGTAGTAGGTAGGAGCGTGGTGGGTGGGAGGTGAGGTGGGAGAGAGAATGAAGTAGGTGACGATAAGCAATACGCAGCCAAGGAGAGACTACTGCCGGTAGAGTTAGCATACCGGCCCTACGAGTATTATAGTACGGCCCCTCACTGGGTCAACTAGTCGCAGGGCAGTAGGGAGTTCCAACTCCATCCGATAGATACGAGGGAGCCAAGAAGTGCCAAAGCATAAAAGGGCGAATGACTTGGACGGAATCTTCCTCATAAAAGCCTTTACCCAACCACGTATCGTACAACCCCAAGAGGTCCGCAGAAGAGCGCAATACCGCAATTTCCATTGCAATAATGGCGTAGCTATCGTACAATTCCATCACAAAGGCCAAAGGGAGCACCAACATCTAGCAACCATAAAGCTGAAAAAGAGGAGAAATGAAATACGAAAGGAAAAAAATATGAGAAAAAAAACCACCAGCAAGGGGCAAAGTGTTCACCATCCCTGAACAAATAGGATATATTCAAGGCTTATGGCCTTTTTATTGCTTCAACCCCCACAACCCAGAGTAAATAGAATCACTCCTCCCCTTCAGCCTCCGGCTTGTTGTCCCAGCGATGCTTTACATCCTCGTGACGCTGTCTCTCCACTTCATTGAGCGCCCTGACCTTAAGATTCATAACCTCCGGCGGCTTCTCTCCGTCATCCTCACTCTCCTCATCGTGTCGAACCGGCATCCCAGGGGGGAATTTGTTCTTTCTACGTGGACGAATTGTATAGCGGGTGAGAACGGGGTAGAAGTAGGCGCCTTTCGACTTTTTGTTGTCCCCCTTATTCAGCAGCAACGCCGCTTCCTCAAGGACATCCGGAGGATAGCGTTTATGAGCCTTGGTTTCGTACTCCCGGACAAAATCGTATCTGAACTCGTCACTATCCTCCCCGCCATCCTCCTCGTCCTCGTCCTCGGCATAGGCGGCGAATTTAGCCCTGACTTTGTTGGCGATAGATTCCGAAGCTGGTATGTAGTAATCGAATACATCTTGACCGACGGGGTTGCCATCCTCATCGAGGGGCTTATCCTTTGGCTTCAAAAGGCCCACATCCAATCTAGTATCACGCTTTTCGCCCGGTGCTACCGGACTAACCATAAACTTGAACACCATGTAACCGCCATTATCGCTAGTGGCCTGGAAGTCCGGAAGAAGTGGGTATGTCTCCACAGCGCGAACGTTGGGCTTGTTAGGGTGCTTAAGCTCCTTCCAATTTCTCTCCGCATTCGCCGCCGCAATGTCCCCCACTGCGAGAGCACCCAAGCCGTTGTGATCCTGTCCCGCTGTCTCCGGGTTTGCCACATCAAAACCCTTGAGGACGGCCTGGAGGATACGGATGGGATCGCTGTCTTCGGGGCGAGAAGCGCGCTTAGCGCGAGACGCAGCCATTAAACGTTCCGTGTTTCCCCCAGATTTAAACGTCGACCTGGATTGTTCGGCAGAAATATATTCCGTGCGGCGAAGGAAAGAAACGTTTCCGGCAGAGCCAGTCGCGCGAGCATTCGTTTTCCCCAAAGCGGCAGCAGGACGCATCAGCAAGCGGTCCTTCGGGTCGATAAGAGGGACGGGGTCCAGTGCGAGAATAGCTGAAAACAGGTCAACAATTGGCTCTACCGAGAGAATGAGCTACAAACCGCTGTGATCTCCGTCGAAAATCTTGGGCACGTGGACCAGATCCAATGGCATTCCCAACTCAGAGTCAATCTCCACACTGACGCCTTCAGCCCTGGCGAGCTTGGAGGTAAAGCTTGGGTCGCAGTACATCGCCAACGAGGAATTGGGGATGTTGAGCATTTTCGGTGGGCATGGTGGCGGCGGGAGGCTGTTATTGTAGCGAATTCTCGCGATATAGTCTTGCGCGTGCGGTCTGTTTGATCGCTGTGACATTTTGGCGCCGGTGGTGGTGAGGATGGAGCGAAATGGTGAGAGAGAATCCCCAGTCGCTCGAGTCGCTGTGGTCTGGGGTGTTTGTGTCTACTGTGAGGATCACTGTTAAGTCACAGGAGGGATGGGCACAGAAGCAAAACCACAGCCACTGCTGTGGCGCCGAGGCTTGTTAGGCCAGGAACCACCACCTCAAGTTCCTCAACAAAGCTTTGAGTAGTATCATACTAGTAGAAGCCAACCAACTCAAAGGCATGGAAATTGAGAGACCATACAGTAAATAAAATTAAAAAAATATTCGCCACTACACTAAAGAAAACCATTGCACTCGCGCATACAGTTTCTCCAATCCGACACCTAATGCCAACAATTCCATAATGCATCGGAATTTACCCTCCAGCACTATACCGTACAGTACCAGTACCTCTTTCCTAGAACGAGTAACTAATCATGCGCTAGCTACTTGACTGCATGAACCCAGTAGTGATGTGCATCAAGGTAACGTGAAGAGACTTCGAGGATCCCAATTAAGATCCCATTATCTCCACCCAGGCACCAGCGCCACAAATGCATATCATACTCGAGTACAGTGCCAGGAGTCGCATCTCTTACGGTATTTAATGGGAAAGGCCAAGCCCGCAGCATCTCCAACACTGCTTTTCCCCAACTGCTGGGAACCGTAATACCCGTAGCCAACTTACTGGCACCCGTATCACTCGCCGACTAGGAGCAGGGCCATTATGCTTCCAAGTCCCCAAAGCTCGGATCTCGCGCCTCACAATGGACGCTACTCCCAGATAATGCCATCGGCACAACCCCCTACCGGCATTATAGCCACGATCTTCCCTCAACCTCGCCACAAGACGCAGAAGTAGACACACCGGCAGCAAATCCCCCAAAGTACATGATAACACGGTACTGGTAATCGTGCTAGCAGAAAACCTGCCATCCCGGCTTCCCCTTGCTCCCCAACCATGAGCTACCCGACAGCACTCAACCTGCCCGAGTATTGGGCTAACCCGCTATCTACAACTAAAATGCCAAGCAGCATGATATGATATGATATGATACCACAAATATCTCAGAGCCGCACTTCATACCACGTGACCACCCGCAAAACAATCAAACCTCGGCCAAGCCCCTCACACCAAAAACTTGGGCCCAAGAAACCGCAAAGGAGCCGCATTCAGCCGCACACCCTTAGACAACAAAAAAAAAAAGAGAGCCCTTCGTACCGGTGTGGAAGTGTCTCGGTTGTCTTCCGGATTTTGGATGGTGTGATTGACCGAGCTGACACCTGTGCAATTGTGGTAACCGTACAATGTAATATTCGATCGGATAAGAGTGTAGACTTATGCTGATAAAGTTGACAGTAAAACACAGTGAGAAAGCAAGCGAAAGGAGTGGGGAAAACAGCACCCAGAAACAACAGTAAAGAAGGTGGTGGTGTTGGTTGTACAGGATGGGTTCTCGCTGTCTTGTTCCTCCGCTCTCTCTGAGGAAGGCAAGGCCATGCCTCCAGGTGAAAAACAGCCACCTGCTAAGCCTCATCCCAAACAGAAAATTCTATGGGCAAAAACCCAGCAAACATGACCAGAAAACCCCTAAAACCTTCCTCGCACCACACCGGTACTTGTACGATACCGTAACTTATTTATTCCGATCTTTCCTCCCCCATAAAACGCGCAAGTTCCCGAGTACATGCACCGTGTCCGCACACCCGATCTACGGAGGAAGAAGCAAAAAAGAAAAGAAAGAGAGAAAGGGATAACAGCCACAACGCCATGCCTTTTGAATTCTCGCTTGGGTCTTTTAGAGGACAGTCTAGTTACCTTATGCGCTCGAGAAGGGGTTTGAGTTGGTGAGTTGGAGAACAAGTACTGGTGGTGATCAACACGAGTCCACGGTATCATAGTGAGGGCTAACAAGAGAGCGCCGACACCCAGGAATAACTTATCCCCGTCGCTGACGGCCCTAGTCCGATTGCCCGGAATGTCCGCCGCAGTAGTTAATTTCTCACTGGGGCCCCACGGGCGTTACTGGTTCCAGTACAAAGGCGAAAACGGGCAAGTCGTGACAGGTACCCGAACCACCCTCCTCCCCCCGCCCTCCCCCGGCTTCTGACAGCAATCCGCCCAGAGACCTCCCAAAACCTCTGGCCATACCTCCGCTACGACCCGAACTCTGGCCTGGAAATCACCCGCCTGGAATTAGGCCAGGAAAAGACCTTCTGGGGCACCAATTGCTGGGTAGAAAACGATCAACCCTACCAGAGTATATTCTTCAATAGCCTTCCGCAGGGACTGGTGGACCAGATCACCGAGCTAGACAATTCCGGGCAACTAGAGAGTTACAGTGATATCGGTATTCTAGCGCTCGGGTGCGGGAATTCCTGGGTTCTAGAGTGGAAGGGGTGGATTTGGTCGGAGGGGATCGATCCGGAACTTCTCACGGCTTTGCAGGTGGGCGAAGGCGCTGCTGTCACCGTAAGTTCTCCTCTCTTATAGAGCGCGACAGGCCGATGTATTGACCAGCCATCGGCGGGAAGAATGTCTGCCTGTCCCCTGTACAGACGGACTGCTGGTGGGTAGAATACAGTGATAATACTACGCATTTTCGGACCCCGACGGTATGGAACAGTGCCGTTTCGCTGTTCGCCACACCCCAGTATGCCTTAAAGAAGAAGAAGACAAGAGGCGTAGGGAGGAGTATAAGTGTCGGGCTCAAAAGTATCTCGCCCTATGCTGGTGCCGTGGTGGCTGTTGCAGCTTGTGTTGTAACGTAGCAATGGAAGAGTGCATACAATTGTTTGCCCCGTAGGACTTTGCGAACAACAATAGTATATAGGATGTTGCGGGTGATCGTACGGTAGTTGTCTCGAGAGATGCTACCATGCTGCAAATCAAGGGCCCATACAAGCAGGAACTCGCCTAACCTTATCCCAAGCTGACACAATTCCATGATTACTTGAACTCTGACACCATAATATTTGACTAGGAAACCGCGCCCCATGCATGCACGGAAGTCCTTAATCCTGTGTCCACGGAATCCAAATCGGCAAAGCCACACAATCCGCCATCATATTAGGATTCCCATCACCATCCCGGCTATCACTCGACTTATCGATGCACAACACCCACAACATCCCACTCCCACTGCTTAGGCAACTTTCACACGACATATAAGCATGACAAACAGAACAAAGGTTTGGGGTAAGACCCACAGGGAAAAAAAACCCCCCGGTTCAGTTTTTTTTTTATGGCTTTGGAGCAAGCGACGATCTGACGTCCCTCTATCAACCCATCGTCTAAGGGTATATCGCCCCACCGTCCCAACTCTGGCGCCATTGATACCAAATATTCAATAGCCGTTTTCCGCCTTATGTCTGATAGGATCTCAAAAAAGAGAATGGACCCCATTCCCCGGCGTTTGAGGTTTCACTTCCTTGATTAATGTGGCATTGTGGCCAGTCATGTTCTCCCCGTTTTGTGCTAAGTGTGCTGTACCCGCGGTGGGAATATATACTTGCGGGCTATATATGCACTCCACACGTTTATGCTTTCCTTGCTTTTCTGTGTATTCGCAGTATTATTTGTTTCCTTGAATAGGGCATAGACGCTTCTCCCCTCCCGACGTTGTTCATCTCCCACTCTTTTCTCTGATTGACCGATAGGTCGTCTTCTGGTCCTGTGGCCCCCCTCATATCGCAATTCGTAGCACCGGGACGTGTAAGTGCACCGGCGGTAGGTGAGCGGTTAGTATGCTTCTTCCCTGCGCCGGGGTCGGTGGTCGTGATGTAAGAGTAGGCAGGAGTCGAAGAGACGAGCTCGAGATTAGGATTGAGATGACAGTCCGTTCATTAATCTCTTTCACACAGCTGGGAGTTGTCTGATTAAGCCCGAGTGCTCGGGTCTATATTTGCTCCCGTTTGATTCCTGTTCTACGACCTAGGTTCACTGCTTCTTCCATCTAGGCATCCTTGTTTACATGTTCGATAGTATACTGCACACACCCCATTTGTCAGAAGGTTATGAATCCTCTACTCAATATATCTGTGCCAGCGAACCCCCATCCTCACAAAAACCCATTGGGCTAGAAAACGCGACACAGCCGAGTGACCACATATGACGCCCACAGCCACCTCTCAGAGAGGACTTGGCCATAAACGAAATACCCACAGGAACCCACCGCAGCTCATCGCCCACGCAGGAGCTGCCGCCCGTCTCCTAGCCAGTACCCTCTCCCTCCTCGCCAAGGACGTTCAGCCCTGATATCTAACATCGTGAAGGGGTAATTTCCGGTGGGTGATGCAGATTCTCCGGATCGGATCGATTATTGATCTGCTCCGGGGAATAACTCTGTGGTTTTAGACTTGGCAGAGGGACTATTGGTCCAAGGCCGCCGCCAGCTACCCTGCTGCCCGATCCTATATATCTCGTGTTCATGTCAACATCACCAGGAGCAGAGGCACGAGCCTATCTGACGTTCGCGCTAGATCTAACCGGGGAATTAGGGTTGGTCTTCCACTTGTTTTCTCACTTGTCCTTGATTTTCTGGCGCCAGCTATCGTTACAGACAGATGCTGCCCACCCCCTCACCGGCAGTCGTATTCTGGGGCCCAATGTCTTCGGCTGTTGGGTACAGGAAGGCGGGATGAGCTGACCGTGGGGAGGGGAGAGGAGGCCTGTTAGGGGATGCGTAGACTGCAAGCTCACCGTGGGATGTCACCGTGAGAACCTTTAAGCGTTAATGGTGGAATTGCCCCCTGCGTTTCTGCCTAGCGCGGTAGAGTCCACTGTGCTGCGTCTCCAGATCGTTTTTCGTGGATCCTACAGGCTTTCGAGATTAGATAAACCCGACCAACTAAGCGCCAACTTCAGCGTCCAAGCTTCCCTCAGCATTACAGTAATTATCCAGATAATAATACCGGTAGCTTGCGGTTTTGTCGGGAATGTGTCACCGGCCCTCTCGGGTCCCGCACTTTCCCCTGGAACCCCGGACATCCACATACGGTATGGTATCACAATCCTGGCTTTCTTGGTCTCCGTGCTGACCATCTGGTCCGTGCATTGCTCATCCCAGCTCTCTTCGGTTGAAAAGCTTAGATTTCCACGCCAAAATTACCCCAGCACGCTTCCCCGCATTCTATCTTCCCGGAGGAAACATAGCGGTAGGTACCGGTAGTTTATGCTGGGGCGGTACCGGTACCGTATGCCCAGTATGCTAACGCTTCGGTACCTGACGGGCAGCGCTGTACCGGTATGTTATCCCACTGGGCGTACCGGTATGGTCCAGGTTCGGCACCGAATAGGGTGATTCAACGCTCCCAGTAGGCTCCGAACCGAGTACGCGGTATACCCCGCAAATACAGGTGTACCAGTACTGCTTGGATAGAATGACCATACCTCTCTGTACTGGTATGCTCATCCCTCCTTCCGAGGAGGTTTGCTGTGTACAGTACCGAAATTTCCAAGAAATTACGCTTCCAACGAAACACCTTTAAGGTACCTTCCGTGTACATGTACCGAGAGCTTGAATCTCCCTAATATCCCCTGTCCGCCTCTTGCGGGCAGAAAACTCCACCGCGTACTTAGGTACATGGAGTCACGGTGCGGGGCGGGAACATCCGCCTTTCACCTCTTCCTGCCCTACCCGCTACCACCACCCTTGCTTGGGGTCGAGACTCGAGAGACTTCTAGTTGGTTACCAGCTGATGTGACCGCCAAGAAACACGGGATCACGTGCTTCATGATTCCTTTTTCTTTTTCTCACACCGCCCCGATCAATTGGCGAATCCTTCCCACAAACCGTGCCCGTGTGTCAGACAACCACCACAGATGTTCGACAACACACGCGGAGGCTTTCCTTCAGGGGAAAGCGGGCAATACTCGGAGCACCCGTGCAGAGGCATCACCACTACCACGAATCCTCTTGTGTCCTACCGCCAACAGCATCACCATCACCAGACGGTAAATATGCTCAAGCGAGCACGAGAAGATGATGGGGAAGATGAGCGCATGCTTTCATCTTCCCATGGGATGCTGGATGGGACAGCAGCAGCGGCGGGCTGTTTGGGGGTTTGTTCGCCCCAGAGTGCTAAAGTTCCTTCCCCTCCCCTCTTTCCCCCTCGTTCTTTCCTTTTTCCCATCCCCCTCCCATTTGGCTGACTATGGATTAAAACAGAAGCGGCGATCAAAACTCCAACTAAGACCGCATCCTTCTTTCCCTTCTGCAAAATTGGCCGTTACTCCGTCGACAACTACCACCGCGACCAAAGCCCCCTACATATTTTCACCTCCGGTGGAGGCTCAGACACCTTTTTATAATAATAACGGCCAGGATATGGATATGGCGGATGGATTGCACGCTCCGTATTCGGTTATTATCGGGCCCCCAACACCTGTGAGCGATGGGGGTGAGGGGGACGGCGATGTGGAGATGAAAGAGGCCTTTGATATGGGAAGGGAGAGAGAGAAGGAGAAAGAGAAGGAGAAGCGGAAGCCGTTGTTCAGGATGGGCTATTTGGCGGACTGTGAGAAATGCAGGTCGAGGACCCCGGGTCATTACAGCCATTACTAGCGGGAGTTCATTTTCTTCTTCGACGCCTCACTGTCCGGAGTTCAATGGGGCTTTACTCATTTTTTCCTTTACTCTTTATGTTTTGCCTCTGCGATGGGTGCATTCTAGCTTATTTTCTATTTTTATTTCTTATTCTGATTGCACCTATTCACCGAAATCGAGCTTCTGTTCTATTTCGACCCAGATCGCACTAGATTTGCATTATTGTTTTTTTTCTTTCTTTTTTTTCTTTTGTGAAATATTCTTGATTACACGACTGTTGGAGTCACCTACTGCGGTGGAATTCCAATGCTTCATCAAGCCAAGGTTGCCTCCGAGAGTTCTTTATTCATTGCATTTTTTTTTTTTTACATTTTTATATTTTTTTCCTTTGAAAAAGCGGTTGTGACAGAATATCTGTCTATGCGCTTGTACCATACCGTATTGTCCATTGTTTTCTAGAGACCTCTTACACTATTGCTATTTTTTTTTTCCGCATCTGATTATCGATGGATGACGATGGAAGTCGATGAGACGGGACGGGACGAATTGGGATGGCACGATAATAGAATTGCCCAACTTTAGCGTCACGAGAATGAATCGATTAGCGAGAGCACTTGCCGAACGGAGAAAAGTTGACCCGACCAAAGCTGACAATATCGTGACCCGGAGCCGCACGCAGCCATCCGCGTTGACTTGAATAGGGACTTGAAAGGGTGCACTTGTACCAGCACCGTAGTGCAGAACCTGCAGCAACTCTGTGCCCCACCAACTGTCCCACCATCCGACCCGTGGCTGCAAATTGTCCTCTCCGAGGATGTTCGTACTATGCTAATAGTACTATCTAGGTGCCTCATTTTCTCTATCAAGATAGAGTGAGGTAGTCAGTATCATGGTCAATATTGCCATGTAGCGCTAGAATTGACGAGTACCGGTAAGCATTCCCGGGTTAATTTACGTGGGGTGGGAGGGGGAGGGGCAAGAGAAGTTTCCACGTTGCCTCCGAGTCTCCTACCGTATAGACTAAGCGTACCGTACCGTACACCTGAAGTCATTAACATGCATGTTGTCCTCACAATGCAAAGTGACAAAACGATTACCGTATTCGAACGAAAGACTTTTACCATCACAAGTGCCGAATATTAGCACGGGCTTGGCGGTGGGAAGTACTGTATATACGGGTGGTAGTATTGTACCGGTACCGTCCCGGCACTTTAGAATCAACTCAACTTTTTGACAAACACAGACATCGTGTGCTATCATTTTACTTATCCCTTCCGTGCAAGGGGGGGGGGAAAAAACAGACCTCGATTATGTAAACATCACTCTTATAATTATAATAGTGCGGATTCGTTCTTGGAATTGGGGCAGGGTTCTAGTGGCGCCCGGATCTATGATGATAATAATATGGTAGCACCTGTATAAAAAAGATAAGATTTTAAGCACGGGTGTGCATGGGGAGGTAATGATAGTAATATCACGTAAATATATCGCTTTGGAGCAAGTAAGGTTGTAGATTATACTATATTGGGACCACGTTCCCCACCACACACACTAACCACCCTATCGTAGCCTATCGTACGGTGAACATGTAATTATGTGAATGGGGTAGCAAAGGCTGCCAAGTAACTTTGTGGTCGGTGGCACTACAGACCCACTGAGATATGCTGCGGCATAGTATCTAGCAGTCCGCTGTCTGAGGATTGGAGATCGCCACGGAGGCTGGAATGATTGGAGAATGGGCTGTGGTGTGCCGTTAGAGTTGCGTCCTCTGGGAAGGTCACGTATTTTTTTTAAAAAAAAATTGTCTTGGAGGGGTTAAACGGCTCTTTTTTTTTCTTCTTTTTTTCTCTCACGGAGCTGTACATTCTGCCCCCTTCCCAATGTAAGGAATACTCAGCTATATAGCACATGCACCAATTATTACAGTTTTTCTAGTATAGCAACCGTCACAGAAATCCCGGGACCCCAATCTCCATGCATGGAAACTCCAAATATAGAGATGTAGTACCATCATATCATATCATTAAACCATAGCCGCCAACACCGAATACCAGCACTACGAAATCCGCTCCCAATTTCATCATATTCTCTAGAGGGAATTGCAGCTAGATGTCCAGAATTCCCGAATCCTGATATGCACACACATCCCCCGCCATCATCCCTACCCGCACGGATAGAATAAGAATCCGTGATTGGAAACTGAAAATTTGAACAGTTTGGTTACATCCGCTCGTACCGGGTTAGCGATAACAAACAGACTTCAACAGAATTACCGTACAAGCTCGTTGAACCCGCCATCCCCCCCGCCGGTCAGGACCCCCGCCAGATCAGAGATAAAACACCGTGACAAGGGATAGTGTTTTCCAGACGGAGCATAGCTGGAGGAGTATGAATTGTCTAGATATTCGTAATTTTGCGCGCCAAGCCCATTATGGTTTGGATAGTGATTTTGGCCGAGATTTCCAATGGGGGATTTGACGAGTTTATGCGGTACTTAATTCAGTGTCTTTTTTGTACATTGAGGGCTTTTCAAATGTAGTTTTCTGATTTTCATTTTTAGAAGGTAGGGTTTACAATATAGATCATCAATACTCACTCGGCGATATTACTGGGTTCACATGGGGTCACTCGGTTTATGTGCATGACCTGTCACTCGGAGCAGTGTATATGCATAGATATTGTGCGGAAGAAGGGGGATGGGGGGGGAGAGATACTTGGTGATTTTTTTGGGCTTCGGCGAGAGGAGTTGGCTCACATGGTGCGGGAGTGGTAGCTAGCGGGTTCGAAAGGTACTGTATCGATGGGCTGGATACACTCTGAATACATCACGACAGTTAAGTGTCAAGGACTAAGTCTAGTGAGAGGACGTCGTGTAAAGAAGAGGCATTGAATTCTTCGGGAAGTCACTGCACTCTGGGGAGTGTGCTTCGTCTACTATTCTCTGACTTGTGGCTCTCTTTTCAATCACTCGGGCAACTCATTTCGCTGCTTCGTGATGGGATTTCAGTACGGAGTGGATATTCTTCTTGGGGTTGGTCTGCTTGCCTATCTCATCTACGTAGAGTCCCCTATACTGCTCGCCCTTATATGTGCTGATTTCGTACGTTTCTCGGCGATTTCATAGAAGGAGGGGGTTTTTTGCCCCGATTCTGGACCCCTCCCCCCCCCCTGGACGCCCGTCACGCTCAATCCCCGAGTGTGCAGTCTCCCCCTGCCTCTTGTTAACCTTGCTCACCTTCACCTCCCTTCTCCCTGACTTCCTTCTTCACCCATCCCTTTCCTCCAAACAGCCCCTTCCTGCTTTCCTCCTTCAGCTCTCCCCCAACACCCCCCCCCCCTCATATTCGTTAACAGCCGGCTCCCTGCAGCTCACACCCGGCTGATAACAGCGTACCAAAGGTACTTGAGTCCGGGTGAGAGCATCCTTTCTTTCCCATCATCCTCCAATTTAGCTCTCATCTAGAATGCTAATATTTTAGTGGTTGGCCCTCTTCCTGACGCTCGTCCACTCACCAGCGCACTTGCATCCACTATATCCCTTTTCCCTTTTTTTTCACCTTTTCTACCAATTCTCTCCATTCTCATCCTACCCCCTCACTCTCATCACCACCCGATAGCCGCAGCCACTGGTTCGGGGTTTAAGAAAGTTCCTATTCCTTGCTTGGCTTCTCACCAGACTCCCGGACGTATTACCGGGAAACTCATCCATCAAGCTTTTCCTCCCGGTTTCCTGAGGACTCTTGGATTTAGCATCCACTCTCCGAATCTTTGGCTTGCCCTAATCACATCGGTTAGCCACCTCTATCCGAGCTATACTGCATCTCGATCCACAGCATACTTTGCCTTCGAGCGGAAAGGAAATCCGCGAACCTGATAGACGACCAGTAAGCTAACCAGCACTGCATCTTTTTTGCCTTTCCTTGGAGTTGTAGTTAAGATGATTTCTTGCTCCTTGGCCTTTACTTACTCTTATCATTGCAGGATCGCCGCTACCCCGTTACCCAATTCTTATTCTAGGGTGCTGTAGAAAGCTTTCTCTCTCGCATAAACCCTATTCCCTCATCGATATAAATGTCGTTCCTTCATTTCCCCGATGAGTTGATGGTGGAAGTCGGCAAAAACCTTGCCACGCCGGATCTCTATAGTCTGGCCTTGACCAACAGTAGACTCGAGAGGATCTTTCTCGATGATGTTCCTAAAACCGTCTTTGAAGACCGTCCTCGCGCCGCAGAATTTGGGACCAAATTGATGTGGTTCCATGCCCGCAAGGGCGATAAGCAAGAGATCGCTGCTATGGTGGAAAAGGGCATTCTTCCGGTGGTGGGGCCAACCGTGCTCCACGAAGGTATCCTATGCGAGGGCTCGATTGCGGTCAGAGCACTCATCGAGTGCGGTGTCGGACTAGAGGATCTCAATTCTCACGGGTTCACTCCGCTTGCTCTGGCTGTCGCAGTCGGGAGACCCGATGTTATCGCTGTGTTGGCCGCTCGTCCAGAGGTTGATTTAAATTTTCGCCATCCTACCAAAAACTGGACGGCCCTACACCTCGCATGTTTGTGGAAGCACCCGGGTGTTTTGAAAGGCCTTATCCAGGGTTCGGCCCCTTATCTATCCGACAGAGACCCGGACTGGGGCATCGCACTGGAGATTGCCAGGAGGCCAAATGATCAGCTGGTGTGTGTGGTCAAGGCTCTCCTTGCGAGCTACAAACTGAATGTCAACGCCACTGTCGACGGGTACACCGTCCTTCACCTCGCAGTTGCCTCCACCCAGTGGAAGGGTGTGCAGGTCTTGGAGAGCCTTTTGCAGGATACTCGGGTCAATAGGAACCCGAGAGACATTTTCGGAAGGACTCCATTGAACATTGCAGCCAGTTCAGGAGTCTATGACGCCGTGAAGTTGCTCCTTTCCAACGGAGCGGACGTCAATATGTCCAGCAATCCGACATGCCCGGATGGAAAGCTGTGGACCCCCCTTCACGCCGCGGCGGCCCGTGGCCACGAAGGTATCGTTCGTCTCCTGACCTGCCATCCGCACATCGACTTGAATCGGAAAGGCATTTTCGGTGAGACGGCACTGGATCTTGCGTTGAGAGCCTCTTGTGTCTCCGCGGCAAACGTGCTTCTCTCTACGAGAGGGATCCAGGCGCCGGATACTTGCGTTAACCCCGACGGTACCTACCTCTTCTCGGACCGATACAGTGACGCCATAAATAGGCTGTTGCAGAGACATCTCATGGCAGGGAATGCCCAAGTTGAGTTGGAAGATGAGTGGGCTTGAGAAGAGTGTGTCGTCCGGTGACAATTTGCCCGTGCGAATTCCCTTCTATTCCCGAAAATTCCGTTCGCCCTCGGGCTTTCCATATTCTCTACGTTCTCGCATTTTCCGGCTCTTTTTCTGAGGTTTTCTTTTCCCGTCTCTAAAGGTTTGTTCCTCCTCAAATGTGGTATCTGCTTGTTTCATCGCTTTCCGTTGGGATTTTCTTCTAAAAAATGAGGTTGGGGGTAGGCCCTCGATTCCATTCCCGAATTCTGTTCGCCCTCGGGCTTTCCATATTCTCTACGTTCTCGCATTTTCTGGCTCTTTTTCTGAGGTTTTCTTTTCCCGTCTCTAAAGGTTCGTTCCTCCTCAAATGTGGTATCTGCCTGTTTGATCGCCTTCCGTTGGGATTTTCTTCTAAAAAATGAGGTTGGGGATAGGCGCTCGATTCCTTTCTACTGGAGTTTCCGCTTTTCTGGGGGCCCGTTTGAGGCGGTTGGTGGTACTGCTGGTTAGAATGGTTTCCGCAACGATTGTTTCGGATTTGATATGTCTCTTGCCCGTCTTTTTTTGAGAAGGGTTCCTCTGCTCAATTTTCCGTCATTTGATGTGTTTTCTTTGTTCAGGACGGGGTATTTGATGGATCTGCTGTAACGTGGCTGGCTACCTTGGACGGTGATTTCTGTGCTTGCTTTCTCTACATTCTTCTCGTGGGATTGTATACTACTTTATGATACCAGTTTTCGCGAAAGTTCTTGTAGTTGTCACTCCAAACTAAGCTAGAATACTGTGACAATCCGCCCGAACCCGGACAGGGGTTTCCGGTGCTCCTCTTGCTGGCAGGAATGTGCTCTTTTGTATTTGTCCCAACCGTGTGTCTATGTGAGGGGGGGACAGGGTGGGTAAATGAACCCAGCGTTCATTCCAGCAGTGGAATTGGAACTATGGGAGAGGTAGACTGCTGAGATAACCGCGAATTTTTTTTAGGCCAAAATATCCCATTAATAGCATCCTATCAACCTACAGCAATCTCACGGGTTTTAAACCAATTACAAATATATGGTGCAAAGCATTCCTAAGGTGGACCAAGGCCGTTGCATAGTGAAATGCCTCTATCTGAAAAGGGTATAGGGTTATATGCCAGAATAATGGGTTTCAAAAATAAAAAATCTTACAGTTTGTATGAGAGGAAAAGAGAATGCTAAATAGGTTGCCAGTGTGATGAACCAATAGTTTATTTACAGAAGTTAAAATCAATATAACAGATGTAATAAGGAGTTAAAGTAAGTATAGGATTCTTAGAGGCCATTGTTCCGGCATATAACCCCATACCCTTCTTAGATAGAGGCATTCCACCATGCAACGGCCTTGGTCCACCTTAGGAGTGCTTTGCACCATATGCAAAGCTGAGCCGTGATAGTCAAGCCTCATCCTCCCCTGGGGCTTTTTTATACACGAAACTCCCAGCCTGGGTTTCCTAGGTTGATGGAACCCCCTGCCTCACCATCATCACCTCTCTCCTCGGTTCATATTCCATGACAAACTGCCGCCAAATTCTCAACTTCCGAGAGACAAAAATCTAGGACAGTCTCTGCCGACAGTCAATATTCAATCCATCCATTCTTTGCTGCACAATATCAAAACTAGATGCAGTCCCATCCCTCTTCCGATTCAGCGAGGATCTCTGATCAAATTGCATCCGTTCATCTGGAAACGATGCTTTTCCTATTTTCGCACCCCGCCTCCGACAAAGTTGGTCACCTTCCCGTCTCGGTGATGCACACAGGCACCTCCCTGTATCTCACGGGGCTATCCGGACCCGTGGGTGGTGGTTTACGTATCCTACGCATGGTGAACAAGGAACTGAGGGCGTCTCAGAGATGTGTCGGGTGTTTGGCTGGTGGTGGAACCGGAATATAAGCACTAGAACTCCCGGACGGAGTGGCGGTAGTGGCACTAGAAGTGGTGATATCGCGCTCCCCCCGCTGCTTCTCCTCCACAAGACGTAGTAAGTTGTTGGCACCAAACAACAAAATCTAAATTCCAAAGATAACTACCCTTGTCAGCAGTGTTTAAAATTTGGCTTAATGTCACGATTGGGCGGTGCTCTCAACTGTCTATCCCGTCCGTCCTAGAGTTACCATAGGAGGGACGGACTACCGTACGTTTCCTTTTGTGTGTCCAGACGCCCTAGTATTGAGCGGGACGATGGAACTAGGTTCGCTGCGTCGTGCTATAAATTCCGCTAGTTATCCACCATCCCCGCTGCCCCCTGCCGTCCTTTACATCACGCGGGTGCTTGCCAAACCCCGCTTAACATATATTGACCGCTTCTTGCATTCGTCGGTTTGGACTTGCGGTACAGTGCATTATGATAAATGACTGAGGAGACTAAAGATTCACATATCCCTCCTTTTTTATATATCGATCAAGACTTGCCCGTCCGTACACTTGGGAGCCATTATTAGCCCCTCCGTAACGCGAAGTAAACCACCACCGCCCTCAAATCTGCTTCAGAAAACCTCCCACTTGCACCCTCAATCCCCCCGCGGTTCTGTGTACAATATAAGAAAGACAAGGAGATTACAACGGGTGACGGGAAGCATATCACAGAATTGATAACAAATAAAGGACCGATGCGGGTAGGTGCGGATTGGAAAAATGCCGGTTCCCCCAAACCCCCGTGTGAGACCCAATGATCTCCAACGCATACCCAGGATATTCCCCCCACGTTCATCTCCTGCGCTCTCCCTCATAGCGGTTGCCATCGCATACCGGTAGACCCTGGCGGGTGTTGCCAGTGTCACAGCTGGTATCAGTAGTCTACTAGATTCCAACAATATCCGCGTCGCTGAGCTGGTATTCCGTGTTTTTTTCTCTTCTTTTTTTGCCCTCCCCAGATGCGACACCATCGTCACTAGCTGAGGTCTGCTTATGACTGTACCGGATAAAGTGGCCAACTACCGGTACTGCTCGAGCGCGGTGCCGCAGCCCGCAGGTGGAGACCCAAGCAGCTCCATAAAACTCGTCGGTATCATACCACACCGGTATCAGCATCCAAAAGCCCCCATTCAAACCCCTCGCGCCGTGTCTCCCAAAGTCCCCCGCTCCCACGCACCGTAAACCATCATACCCGTTTCCGCTATTCGCAAGACGGGGGCAAAGTGTCATCCCGTGCAGGGCAGTGCGAGTAAACGCCCTCGTAACCATCCGCGTACGGAGGTACAGCGTATAAGTTTTGTAGATTTTACTAGCAGGGGTGGGCTGCAGGCAGGGGGGTAAGTGTGACAAATTAGGTATGGGGGGTCTTGGCGGTTTTTTTTTAGTGTGGATGGGGGGGGTTTTTTTTGAAAATGCTTCTGTTCACGATTACTCACTGCCTGTAACTCCCCACCTCACGGAAAAGCAACCACCATCTCTGAGAAAGGAAAAAACTCCTGCCATCTCAGAAACGAAGCTTTCATCTGAGTTTCTCTTTGTAAGTGTCATAATATCAGCACCTCTCACTTCTACTAACTTGACTCAGAAGTGCTTTACCAGCTTTCCCGATGTCAGTCCCGGGCCTACCAGAAGCACAACCTGAGCCTCACGAACCGTTGGCCCTTTCGTACCTGGCTCCAGCACCCCGTCGGGTACTGCCTCCAGGACTCTGGGCCCTTCAGCTACAGTTTCCGGCCGGACAACCAATGCTGCGAGCTCCTCCAGCACTACCGCCTGTCCTGCCTCAAGATCCATGGGCACTTCCACCACTCCCGCTAGAACCTCTTCCGCTACCAGCTGCAGCACCACCTCCAGTGCTACCTCGACAACCTCCTCTGCCTCAGG